TTGAAAGATTTTTAATCTCAAATTAATTTGCAAATAACCATGAAATCGGATATTCGATCTTAAAATTAAATTCGATCTCAACTAATTAAGAAAAAGCAAAACAGAGTTAAAATCCTATTAAAATATGAATTGAGAAGAAACTTGATGTAATTAACGTAATTCAATCATTAAGGAGAGAAGGACTAAATAAATAAAAATAAAAATAAATATGCAACCGATTTACATTAATAATCGTCTCAATTTCACGGAAAATCGAAATTTCCGTTTACCACACAGTCATTACATCCACCTCCCCCCAAAGTTTCAATTCAACTCCCTCAAAATAGACGTTAAACAAACACCAAAAGCGAGAGAGAATAATCCGACTTAACCTGACTTATTACAAACACACTCTCCGGGTAATATCCATAATAACCGTCGACTCTCCGAAGTCCATCAGTCTGCCAACAATCGCAGGTACACGTGCATGCGTTCAATTTTGAATAACACTTTCGAGTTGCATAAACTCGTCAAAGTTATTCCGGCATCCACCGCCCCTAGAACTACATAATAACGCATTCTCCGTTGGAATTTTCCCCCTCGTCCTGTCCCACCTGTTTCGCAGTACCGAAATTGGCAATTAGTCTTCGATAATTGATTGCGTGACAGATAGCCTTGATACTCCGAATGCGCCGAAAAATCCACCCCCACGTCGGCAAAAAAAAACGGCAACAATCAATATTAAAATGATTGACACTGGTGCCATTAGATTGGCGATACATCGACCAGGGCTATCTCTCGTCGGATTCTATTCTATCGGCTCTATTCTGCTCTCTTCATGGTCGCGCGTGTCCGAAACAGCCGCATGACAGTCCACCCTATCAATTCGAGAAGTAGATAACCCTAGAATATACTGGAGGTCTTTTTCTTTTCCATTCATGCGGATTTATCTGTTTTGTTAGTGTTGGAAAAAATCGGCTGAATTTCCCGGAAAAAGACCTTCACGGAGAGAAAAATTCAGTAAAAATTACCAAAAAAAACGTAAAATTTACGTTTCGAAACGCAATCCGCGAGCGAAGTAAAATTCAATAAAAAGTGTGAGTCGGAACTGAAATTGTAAGAATCGCCACGTAAATTCTACGATTTGTTCCGTAAAAATTAACTAAACAACACTCACAATTTAACTTCAATTTAAAAAATCCTTCGTTAGCGTCAACCGGACCAACAACGCAACGGAGCGTATATTGTTATGTAACAGGAGAATTTATTTCCCTCAACGTCAACGCGCGACGTCACTCCTTGGGTATTTTAATAATAAAATTTTAACATTTATTAACTTTGTCAAACATCGCGTGTTGTTCAAACTCATGCAATCTGGTTAATTATTCTTTCCATTGTCGTCGAATATAATATGTAACTATAACTTGTTGGATTGTCGAATCCACACAATTTGATAAAACTCAAAACATGACAGTGACAAAAATAACAACTACAGTGAGACAAAGAAGAATATTTTACACTGAGAAAAAACAAACTTTTGTCAAGCGATTTTTGTACTTGTTCAAAAGATGAGGAGCAATTGGTCCACAAGAGAGAGATTTTTCCAACCGAGTCAAGTGGTTTTTGCATTAAAATATTTTGGAATCGAGAATAAAAAACTATTGAATGAATTGATTCACCTAGACATGGTTTGAGAAATTACTTTTTTGTCATTAAAAAATCTTTATTGTTTTTGATTAGTGACATTTTCACTAATTTTCTGTGTATTTAAATGAGTTGAATACGTGTATTAATTATCACCATAAGAAATAAATAAAAATTAGTTTTCTTTATTTTACTCTATTTTCATTCTATTAGTCATTATGATCATTATTATTATTATTTTATTTTTATTATTATTTTTTTCATTTTATTACATGACTATTAATCATTTTAATCAATAAATAAAAATTAGTTTATTTTATTAATTAGTTTACTAATTAGTTTTATAACAATATCATCTATTTCACATGAAGTATAATGTCTTCCGCTCTTTATTGTTCCTGTAATGTCGCTGTAAAAATGGAAGAAGCCTCAGAATCCTAATACAGGCGCCCTCCATAAGTAGATACTTCCCGAACCGATCAGACATCATTCAAAAAAAAAATGTGGGAATAAAACAAAATTTCACAAGTTGAATTAATTATACTATAATAATCTTGAAGTATTTCTTATAAACACATGTTTATTATACATTATTTCATGTATTAATAAACCGATTAATATCATCGTGAATTACATTGTCATAGAATTAATCAAATTCTATAGCAATATAATTCATCCCACACAAATTACGTCTTCCCCTTATTATTATCCCTATCATATCAATATAAAAATGAAAGAAGGCCCAGAATCCCAATACAGGCGCCCTCCATAAGTAGATACTTCCCGAACCGATCAGACATCATTCAAAAAAAAAATGTGGGAATAAAACAAAATTTCACAAGTTGAATTAATTATACTATAATAATCTTGAAGTATTTCTTATAAACACATGTTTATTATACATTATTTCATGTATTAATAAACCGATTAATATCATCGTGAATTATATTGTTATAGAATTAATCAAATTCTATAGCAATATAATTCATCCCACACAAATTACGACGTCTTCCCTTATCATTATCCCTATCATATCAATATAAAAATAAAAGAAGCCCCAGAATCCCAATACAGGCGCCCTCCATAAGTAGATACTTCCCAAATCGATCAGACATCAATCCTCAAAAAAATGTAGGAATAGAAAAAAAATTTCACAAGTTGAATTAATTATACTATAATAACCTTAAAGTATTTCTTATGAACACATGTGTATTATATATTATTTCATGTCTTAATAAACCGATTAATATCATCGCGAATTACATTGTCATAGAATTAATCAAATTCTATAACAATATAATTCATCCCACACAAATTACGACGTCTTCCCTTATCATTATCCCTATCATATCAATATAAAAATGAAAGAAGCCCCAGAATCCCAATACAGGTGCCCCTAAAAGTAGAGAACTCTAGAATTGACCAGCCGCAACTCCTCAAAAGAAAAAAATCGCAGAAATGCGAGACAAATTGCTCCCACACGAAGTATCACGTTATCCACTTCATTACAGTCCATCCTATCGTGAAGTACAGCTGGAGTAAGCCTCACGTCGTCCAAATAGGCGCATCCTAGCTCCCACTATCCACCCCACAAATACGTAACCCTGTATAAATTCATTACACTAATAATCTTCAAATATTTGTTACCAACACATGTTCGTTATGTATTATCTCATGTATATCGTGCATATTCCCCTTCCAAAATGGTGTCATGTACTAAAAAAAATGCAGTATAAAAAAATATAAAAAACAATAATATTGCAAAACTCAGTTTATTAATTCAGTAGCGAAGTGGTAAATCGGTATAAGTTAATTTTTACCATTAGCCAGTTTTCAATAAATATCTCGGAATCTAAGGGAGATAGCAAAATTTTTATTATAACCTTTTTTGTAGAGCCGATTGAGAGCTACAACAAATGTAGTTACGAAAATTTCGCTATCTCTCTCAAATTCGGAAATATTCATCAAAAACTCAAGTGGGAGATAAGTCGACTTAAACCGCTTTATCACTTCGCTACTGAATTAATTCGATAATAATATCGTCTCCACACGAAGTACGTATGTATGTCTTCCCGTCATTATTATCCTCATCACAACAATAAGTAAATAAGTGAATAAATAAATAAATGACGAAAAAATAATAATAATAATAATTTCAAGTATTTAAACACATTGAATGCGTACTTCCGATAAAAAATCGATTGATTAATTAATTACATAACAATATCATCCAGCGCACATGAAGTATGCTGTCTTCTCATTATTGTCATTATCATCGCAATAAATAAATGAATAAATAAATGAATAAATAAATAGATAAATAAGGACAACAATGAAAAAAAAAATAATTTCGAGGTATTTGAATGAGTTGAATGCGTACTTGAAATTTAAACAAAGTGGTTTATTAATTAATTCTATAACAATATAATCCACCCCACACGAAGTATGATAATTGTCCCTGTCACATCCAAGTAAAATTGTAAGGATACAAGAGAAAATTCACCAGTTGAGTTAATTACACCATTATAATCTTGAAGTATTTTTTATCAATACATGTTCAATATGTTTTATTTCATGCATATTCTGGGTACTCCCCTGCCAATTAGTAATGTGCACTAGTGGCAGTATACAATGCATAAATAAATAAATGAATAATTAAACGAATTCGAAGTATTTAAATAAGTTAAATGCATACTTTAACTTAAAAAATCGACTTATTAATTAATTCCACAACAATACCATCCACCCCCCACGAAGTAGGACGGCTTCACCTCATTACTATCCCAATCATCTCAATATTCTCAATATAAAAATGAAAGAAGCCCCAGAATCCCAACACATGTGCCCCCCATAAGTAGATAACTCCAAAATCGCCCAGCCACAACTCCTCAAACCAAAAAAATCGCAGAAACACAAGACAAATTGCCCTCCACGAAGTATCCCGTCATCCACTTCATTATTGTCCATCCCCTGGTGAAGTACCGCCGCCCGTGGCCGCACGTACCCCAAGCAGCGCTACTCCAGCTCCGTCCCCCCGCAAGTAGAAAACCCAAGAACCAGCCAGCCCCACCTCCTAAAAAATCGCAGAAACCCGAGACAAATTCCGCCAGTGGAATTGATTATATCATCCACCCCGCACGCAGTATCATGTCTCCCACTTTATTATTGCTCATGTAATCGTGCAAGAAGGCCCCATGTCCCGCGCCGTCATGCGCACAGCCCCCGCCGCGTCGTACACAATCCAGAGCGGTGGAAAAAAATAATAATAAAGCGCAGAGACGGAAAACCGAGGGTCGAACACGTCCCTCTGGCAAATAATATTCTCCACGCGTGCGCGGGCTCTTTCGGCAACGATCAGCTGGAGGTAGTGTGTCGACGTCGAAGAGGTGTACAACAGCCAGTGGCGCCGCGCAACCCGTCGGCACCATTTCTTTATTTACTCTATTTTTTTTGTTCTGTTTTTCTTTTAACAAAAACACTGTGTACCAAACGAAAATATACTCGTTAGTTGCCGAGACGAGTTTGAATAGTAAAAAAAACATCTGAGGTTGAGGTAAGAGATTGCACTGAGGTGAATTTTGCGGAGTATAAAGGGAGTGAGAGCGACGTATGCGTCGTTTTCGAGTGGTACGATGAGACGACGAGGGACGAGAAAGCTGCATCGTCGTTTCTTCAAACAGCCTGGCCGTTCGGCGTCCTCGACGCACGAGGACGAGGGCGAGGAGACGGCTGAACATTCGCGGAACAATATCAATATTTAATAAGGAGTTATTTGTTTACTCGAGAGCTACGGTTCCGAGGATGTACGTGTGAGAGAGAGAGAGAGAGAGAGAGAGAGAGAGAGAGAGAGTGAGAGAGAGTGACGAAGAGAGAGACACGATCCCTGTACGCAATCGCGGGGATTGCCCCACGTGAAATAATGGCATCTCATGGGAACGCCTTGATTTCACTGTTTTTCATCGGGGCATTGTTTATTTGCGTCTGCGGACGCACTTATGAGACACGGAGATCAACCGGCGATGGCGTCGCTGGGGCATCGGCCATCAATGAACTGCCCATGCACGGACCCAGCGCTGATAATCAGGGGCTGCCCAGCAATCTTGGGGACGCTTATCCGGGGAAAAATTTCGGACCCATGGGACCCGTTGACAGGTCCTTCCCCGGTGGTGCGTCCAGGAATCTCGCTAATGGGGGCGATGATGCGGGCAGTCCTACCACTACTGTCAAGACACCCAGGCAGTATGAGGTCTTCAAGGTCGAATTTCCGAGGGTCGAAACACCATTTGTCATCGGCATCTGGATCTTCTTCGCTAGTTTGGCGAAGATTGGTGAGTTTGGCGGGATTTGGGGGCGGGGAGGGGGGGGGGAAGCCAGTTGAAGGGTTAATCTCGGTGCGGACGATTATTAGGGGCGATGGGTTTCAGTTATGAAACGCGAGAGGGCTGGGGGAATCTCTGGTGCGCGGGGGATTCGCGGAGAAAAATTCTGATGGAAAATTCTACAGTGAGGGGATTTTTTATTGCTAACAAATGGAGTTGGCTGGAAGCGGGGGGTACTCTGTCTTACCAAGTATTCATTCGTTAATCGTTAATAAATGCATATACCATTGGTTAAGCATTAATTCAGGAGCGAAGTGGTAAAGCGGTTTAAGTCAATTTTGACTATTGGCCGGTTTTCTATGAATATCGCGGAGAATAAGAGAGATAGCAAAATTTTTGTTATAACCGTTTTTGTAGAGCCGAGTGAGACCTACAATAAATGTTATTACGAAAATTTCGCTATCTCCCTTAGATTCGGAAATATTTCTCGAAAACTCAACTGGGGATAAGTCGACTTAAACCGTTTTACCACTAAGCTACTGAATTATTATTAATTATTATATTATTATTGATTTGTTAATGGTTAACAGGTGAATATGTTTGGGAAGACTTGACTCGACTTTCAACTTTCAAGTGAACCATCCGTTAACTCTTGAACAATATTTATTTGGGCGTATTCAACTCCCCCTTTTGTTAATAGTTAACGAATCTCGTTTGAAATAAATTAATTCTATGAAGTGAAGTTGAATATGAAATTTTAAAATTGTATTTTCTGCTACAATTATGGCATTGTTGAGTCAATGAAGTAGTTTTTTTAATGACAAATAATAATTCCAGGGGAAGATACAATTGCGAAAATTTATGTGGACACAGGGGGTCCTTTTCCCGTTAAGGTAAAATTTCTAGGGATTTCTGATAAAATTTCCAGTGCTCAGACTAAAATTTTTCTAGAGAATTGCTGTTTGTGTTTTGATGCATCAGCTATTTTGGGTGGAGGATATTTTGGAGGGAAGTGATGTTTTAAAGCGATGAATGAATAATTGAATTTTTAGTCATTTTTGATGATATTCAAAATATAAATAGATGATGTTTACGGAAATTACGAAAAATACACTTATTTTTAGAAATTGTATTTTTTCGATTATCTCATTAATCTCCCCCAAAAAGTAGGCTTCCCCACTCTTTTCAATATTTTTGAAAGGTTTCATAACGGTTCTCGATACATAATTAAGTTTAAACTTCAAAAGGTTGAATAATCAAATTACAAAATGACAAAATTACAAAATGCACCGGAGCCGTGTAGCAAAGAGGGATATGCAAGGATTTTTTTTATTACTAGGTTAGGAATTTTTAATCATAGAATTGTTCAATTAAAATATATTCTAAAAAAAGTAATTTATTTTCAAGCATTTCCTTCTCATAAATAAGTAATTAAAAATGTTCAACTTCTGGAAACTTTTTTCTTATGAAATCATATTTTGATTATATTCTGAATATGAATAATATAAACCATGTTTATGGAGATTATGAAAAATGCACTAAATTTCAGAAATTGTATTTTGTCTATTATTTTATAATTCTCCCTCAGAAAGACTTCCCCATTTTTTAAATATTTTTAAAATGTTTCGTAACGGTTCACGATAGATAATCAAGTTTGGACTTTCAAAGGTTGAATAATCAAATTATTGCAAAATGTTCGGTAGCCTGGTATCGAAGGGGGTTTAAATGGAAGCTCTGAAGTTCAAAATGATTCAAAATTAATCTAAATTCCTAGATTCAAAACTGCATTAATTACCAACTTATCGAATGTGACGAAGGTAACAGCATCTTTCTGTGTAAAACCGGGGCAAAATGCGACTGGTAAATACCCGCGAAACACCGTCTCATTTTGCACCGTCTCCCTTACTCCCATTTTTTAATAGAAAAAATTCAATTTCATATTCATATAAAAAAGAGTAATAAAATGCTCTATTCTGACGGCAAATGTTGATCCAATTTCCCGTTTAAAAACAGGAATAACTGAATATCATTCACTTGTCCAAAAAACTAATATTGGAAAAGTATAACCGAATATCAATGATTTCTTCTTGAGATACATTTACTTGAATCAAATAAAACAGTCCTTGGCGTCAAGTCACATATATTCACCACAAAAATGGAAAAGTTCTATTTTTTTAACCCTAATATAATCTCCATTCGAGAAATTTTCTTTCATGAATTGATAAAAAATTCGTACCTAGGAGATGATTACATTGAGGAATGAATTGAATGTTGTTTTCTCGAATGAAGCCGATGTTTAAATTGAGCTTTCCGTACATCGCATTGAACGAAATTTGTGATATCCAAGTTTGTGTAGAATTGCCGTAATCTGTGACTCTGTTGTTGTAAACTAATGCGATTTTTTTAGTCAAGAAATATAAACTTCTTTCAACTCAACGACATCTCACTACAATCTCAAAGCTTTTTCCGCATAACAATATTCACCCTGATTCGACATACGAAATGCTCACATCAATTATAATTTACTTGGAACAACGTATGATCGTGTTGACTGAGATAACAACGTATTTAGTCATGAGAATAACTTTGATTTTTGAGTAAACCAACGAATTTCTGGAGTTGGCAAACTTTTGGCTAGAAAGAAATTAAATACTCTCATTATTGCGACAAATAAAAGGAACTTCAATTCTAGAGACGTTCGATTTCTCCCAATCAAATGTATCTCAACAAGAGATAACTGGTATTCACTATGAAATCATGTTTATTTGAAAATTAACAACCAAGCAATAGTCGGTTCAAATAAAATTCTCTTGATAAAATTGATTTTTTCTGTCAGCGTACTACTCCCATTGGAATTTCCACTCTTATTCTAGAATAATCGTCTTGTTTTTCCCAGGATTTCACATGGCACCGAGATTGAGCAAAATCTTTCCCGAGTCGTGCCTCCTGATTGTCGTTGGTGTTGTCATTGGTGTACTTCTGTTTCAAGCCAGTGAAGTTCACGTATCACCGTTGACACCAGACACATTCTTCCTCTACATGCTTCCTCCGATAATTCTCGATGCCGGCTACTTCATGCCAAATCGATTATTCTTCGATCATCTCGGTACAATCCTGCTATTTGCTGTCCTTGGAACTATATTTAATACACTATCCATTGGTAAGTTCAACTCGACATATTCTACTTCATAACGAGACGCAGTTTTCCCCCCGCACACGTGTCCCCGTGTGCTAAAATTAAGATTAACGCGAGCGTTATTACGAGAATATTGGACACTGAATATTCTCCACCAAAAATAAACTCCACGAGGCTGCGGGCGCCGGGGGAGGGCTGGGGAGGGGATGGATCCCTCTGTTTTGGATCCGACGTTGGAGTTTTAAAACGTCATTCAACAGGAACAAAAAACATCGCGAATACACAGAAAAAAAATTTCATTCTGCCCTTTTTTTCTGTATTTTTCCAAAAGCTCTTTTTTTTCAACAGACACGATTACTGGACTTGTACACGGTCGACCGATATTTCACGTGTGATGCTCGTAAAATTCAATTTCAATGTTTTTGTTAGCGCTCACAAAACCAATTCGATTTAACCTCGTTTTATTTATTCTTATCCTTGTTTTTTTTCGGAGGAAATTGCGTTTCGGTTATTTCTGCTGTATTTATTGAGTTTTTGGATAAATGTGAAGTAATGAAATTGACTTGTCAATGGACACAGGGGAAAAGTTGATTTTTTACTTGCACTGGTGGGAATTCGGTTACATTTTGCAGGAAAAAAATTGTAGGAAAATGGGGGTTTTAACGTGCGTTATCTTTGGAATAAAACATTGGGGACTCAATTTTAGAGGAGAAATCTCTCAAGTTGGGGGCGAAATTGCAAGGGAGGTGTTTTTAAATTCAGAACAGGGCAGAGAAAAGAGTTGGGGGAAAATTGCTAAACAAATTAAGTCATTGAGGAGCGAAATTCAGTTGTAGGTCTTGCATCGCAAAATTTACTAAACGTCAAGATAATTTGTCCTGCGATTGCCAAATAGACCTTTTCATCCTGAGAATCGCTAGATTTTCAGACATCGAGTTTATATATAAATGATTATTTTTGGGAATTTTATAAAATTTCAATGTATTTTTTTTTTCAATTTACCAGAATTTTTTGTTATTTTTCTATATATTCTTAATTATATATTCTTTTCTACATATTCTGAATGTGATTTAGGGGGGGAAATCACAAAATTTCAGATTTCACTGAAAATTCAATGTAATTTGGCGCTGAATAAGCATCTTAGATTGAAAATTCAAATAAATTAAGGAGTTCTAGTCTTTATGGTACTTAAAATTCTGGAATTTAACTGAATTTTCAGTGAAACCTAAAATTCCATGTTTTTCCCCCCTAAATCGCATTCCGTGTCACTATCCTAAAAATCAGTAATCAACTGTCCATGAAATTTCATTTTTTTCTACTAGTGTACTTGAATACGAGATTCCTGGAAGAATTAAACGCTTAAAAAAAAATTACTTGTCTCAACTCCACTGTAAATTTTTTTTGAAAATTAAGCAATAGCTGCACTTGTAATTCTCAATGTTGTGAACTTGAATTCAATGATGAAATCATTCATAGGTCAGGATTAATTTTTCAACAGTGTAGATACGTTTCCAGTGAAATATCACAAGTATTTTCCCCCTGAATCGAACTCACATCACCCTATTTCCATCCAGGTGCATCACTCTGGCTCCTGGGACAGAGTGGACTCTTCGGATGTGATACACCACTGCTCGCCATGTTTCTATTTTCCGCACTGATAAGCGCAGTCGATCCTGTTGCGGTTCTAGCTGTCTTCGAGGAGATTCATGTCAATGAAATTCTGTACATTGTTGTGTTTGGCGAGAGTCTACTTAATGATGCCGTCACTGTCGTGAGTATGCGGAAATGCGTGCCATTGGGGCCTCAGCTTGAGTGACAATTGAGTCTTGTGCATTTGGGGGGTGGCGGGGAGG